TGATTTAAAAAATATGAAAGATTGGAACTTTCACAAAGTACACATGCAATCTATTATTAGAGCTTTTAGAAAACCAAGAGTAACAAAAAACAAAATCACAAAAGCATTACTCAACTAAAAGAAAGACTAGTAGATTATTCTGAAAACAGCTACCTACATTTACAAATTAATATACTAAACTTAGACCTTCAAAAAGAACTATTTTAGTTTGCTGAAAAATGATAAACTTGTTCTAAAGCCTAATAAATTAAACAAAAAGAGAAATCTACAAAAGGCTTTTTGCCAGATACAAACTAAGAAAAGCTAGCTCTGCATTAAAAAACATTAAAGATCCTGAAGCTTTATAACAAACAAGAGAAAACACTCTTTGCTATATAAGAGAAAAATATGCAGAAATTTATAAAAAAGAGGAAATAGATGTCAACTTAGCAAAAAAAATTACTGAAAACCTGCCACAAGTTTCCTTTGCACAAAACTTGTTTCTTATTCAAGAAATCACACAAAAGAAAATTAGCAATATTATTAAAAACCTCCTAAACAATAAGACTCCTAATACAGATAAACTAACATATGAATTTTATAAACTTAATAAAGAAGTAATAATACCAGTTCTTTATAGTATCTTTAATCATACTTTTAACTCAAGAGTTATACCAATTTTTTGATATAAAAGTTTAATTTCACTAATATCTAAAAAAGCAGAAAATCTCAAAGATGTAAATAACTGAAGACTGATATCATTAGTTAACAGTAATGCCAAAATTTTTATAAAGATCTTGGCCAATTGTCTCAACCTTATATGTGAAAATATAGTACTTTAACAACCTGGATTTATTAAAAACAGATTTATTACAGATATGGCTCTTGATATTATTACTATTCTGAAAAACTAAGTAGATTTTTCTAAACAACATTGGTTATTTCTTATTAATTAACAAAAAGCATTTGATCATATCAATTATGATTTTTTAGAACTAACTTTGAAGAACATAAACTTCGATTACAAATTTATAAGCCTAATATATAATCTTTTCTCTAATTAAGAAGCTCACATTATAGATATTAGGATTATCTTCAAACTACTTAAAATAGAAAAAAGTACTAGACAAGAAGATTCTTTTTTCTTATTTCTTTACATACTAGCTTTCAAGCCTCTTATAAGAAGCCTAAAAAGACAATTATTGAATATAAAATTAGAAAATCAGTTTTTTAGAACTTCTGCTTATGCAGATGATTTAACAATAAGGATTGAGTCTTTTATGAACTAGAACAAAACTATAGCAGCACTAAGCCTATATGAGGCAGCTTCAAATACAAAAATTAACAGAACTAAAACCAAATTAGCTTTTTTCACAGCCATAGCTTGACAAATAGAACTTACTAATGAAAACTAATTTATCAAATTAGAAGAACAAGAAAATATTACCATTTTGGGCTATAACATTCTCACTAATAGACAACTAAAAAAAGATCTCTGGCCTACTACTATTAACAAGCTAAAAAAATCTTTGGACAAGCTTCTAAACAGAAACCTCTTTTTTAAAGAGAAAATTTTAATCACAAAGTCATTTATCTTATCTAAAATTTGGTACTCAGCATATCTATTACCTCCAAACAGAAAGCAAGTAACAGAAATTAATAGAATTATAACTCTTTTATCAAGAGTACATTATAAATGCTATTTAGATATTCAATTTTTTAGTAATTGACAAAGTTAGCAGGTTTTCAAGTCCTAGTTATTAAAGACATGCTAAATACTCATTTAATAACAGTTTGGATAAGACTTCTTATACTAATACTATATAGGCAATACATGAAAGGAATAGGATACAGTTAATACTCAGTAATAAAAGAAACATTTCTCCTATTCAGAGATTGAATTCTGGCAATACAAGCATGAAAGCCTAGTCTTCAGAATGAAAATCCTATTTAAAGGCCTGGGCAAAAATTAAAGACAAGGTTTTACATACTTCTAACTAGTCTTAAAATAGTAATGAAATTAGAATTAGAGAAATTAAAAAAGATAAACTCTTAGTTAAAAAAATTTTGAAACTCTTAAAAGAATTTTCTTTCTCATTAACTATATCACAAATATCTTTACAGATGTCTCAGCCCATTTGGCTCTCTTTAAAGTTTGTTTGTAACAAGTAAAAAGATATTTTTTGGCATCTTTTTTACAGAGTGCTCTTACTAGGTTATCGATTAAGACATATTGGATTATCAAAAACAGAAAACTGTACTTGGTATTCAGATAAAGTACAAACTATAAAACATTTTGCTTTAGAATATCTTTATAGTATAATTATCTAGAAAAAAGCATACAGTTTTCTTAATATTAATGAAAAAATATCTATACTATTCTCACTCAAAGATATCTTTTAAGCCTCTAACAATACTTGTCCTCAGGCTTTAGCAGCTTTGACCTAGTTACATATTAACACAATCTATGAAATATGATGCTGTTATATTTCTGTAAAATAGGGAAACTCAGATACATCTCTTAAATCTCTAAACTCTCTTATTAGAAATCATATTTTAAAGAAAATACGAATTCTAAAAAACAACTTCTTTAGTACTAAATCTAAATCTTTTAAACTAATATATAAATATCTAAAAAGTAATTAAGTCATTCATAATATCTTAATAAAAGTGTACTACCTGCATCCCTAGTTGTAATGACAACAGAGATATTCCAAAAATAAAAAAAAAACTTGTATAATATAGTTGTAGAACTATTATATTATTGCATATATTATGTAATGTAAATAAAGATATAAATTCAAATTATCTAGAAAATGATATATTTTTATTAAAGAGTGTTTTGTTGGGTCAAAGCTTTTAGATTACTTTAAAAATTTAAATATAAGTAATATAAACTTTTATGAAATAACCATATAAAATGCAAAGACTTATTTATAATAATTTTTTTTGTTTTCAAAATAATTAGAATAATGAAATTAACTACAATATATTACATCACAATTATATAATAATTAAGAAATGTAAATTTAAAAAATTTAAATAATCAAATTAATAAAATGCTTTTTATTATAAAATAAATATCTAAAAATTATATTCTAATTTCTATTTTGATAATAACAACCAACTTGAAATGTTTTACTAATATATTATTTATTTTACCAAATTTTTGATAATTAATAAATGTCTTATGTTATAGGTTACTCTTTTCAATGATTACTTAAACCAAATCAGTATCAAAACAGTTTGAAGAGTTATGCTTTTAAGATGATGATATCTTTGATTCTGTTTAAATATATAAAGCAGATTGTTACTAATGAACTAGAAGTATGTAAAAAACCGAGATGTGAGTAACTCTTCTGATGATTTGTGTTAAGGTTAAGCCTTGTCTGTTAGTAGGCTTCCCAACACATTTAGTATCCAAACCAGAAGGACATTCTGGAAACAATAGAAAAAAACTCTAGTTAAAGGTTATTAAAAGCTTGAAAACAAACAAATAACTAGAAACACTCTCTTTGATTTGGCTTTTCATATATTATATCTGTTGACCTTCTCTATCTATTTCATTTTTCTTACTCAAAAGTGGGAAAATTGACTTCTCTTCTACAAAAGATCAGCATTGTTTACCACTTCCTTTTTCAGACAGTTACATGTTGTGACATAATATAATAGAAACACAACAATCATATATACAGCCTAACATATGGTGTAATGAAGAAATGAAAAAAGATTTAAGTTAGAAGATTATAGCAAATTAGAGATATATAGTAATTCCTAAAATTATGTATATAAAATTTTTATCCCTTTAGCACAGGTTAAAGTGTAGTTAGATTCTTAGTACAGGTTTAAAGTGTTAGTGTTCTAAATAGTCATGAATAAGGTATGCTTCTTAACATTTTTTTTTTTTCCTATATCCTTTTTAGTTTAGTTTAGTTTAGTTTAGTGTTTTTTTTTTTTCTTTCACTTCCTTATGAGAAAGTATTATCAGATTGGTAATATTCTATTGTAGGGCAGTAGTTGGATGAGCCCCTCAGATCCCCTTTTTTCTTTAGAAATTAGACAACTGGTGTGACAGATCGCTTGTAAGTGCTTATAGAAGTAACTGCAAAATATCAACTTAGCACATTAAGTCTAAAAATGTTTGTTAATATATAAACAGGAATCTTAATAAAGAGTATCAGCAAGATTGCCAAAGTGAAAAAAAAATAAATGTTTTATGTTAATTTTTTTCAATTCCTATTTCATTACAATAATAATTTGCAAAATTATTTATTACAGAAACATTTTTCATCCTTGCAGATTTTTAATTTTTTTTTTTTATTTTTATAAAACTTTAAAAAATAATTTTAAGATTTATTACAACAGAGTGGTATATTACATATAACACTCCAAAGATTACTTTAGTATAGAGTCTTATAATCCAAATTCAAGTTTTTTTTACTTGCCAACTATGCACACTATTGGCATGATTCTTATTTCATTACTTAACTAAATAATTACTAGAAGCAAACTATTAGTTTAAAACTTTAAAGTGTTTTATTATTTTTAGCTATTTGGTTTCTTTTTTTATTTCTTTATTTGGTTTTTTTTTTTTTGATTTACCTATAAGTTAAGTTTCCTTTTTATCACTTATATTATTTATAAGATTCTACATCAGTTCAAAACAAAAAGTTCTTATATTTCTGAATAGATGCTAGGATTTGAGTAATAAGATATGCATTGATGATAACTGTATCCAACAACCAAAACAAAAGCAACATTCGGGTTCTTTATACTACTTGTTGTATACAGTAATATAACTATAGTTAAACTGCAATATTTATATTATTCATATGATGATTATAATCATCTATTACTCTAAAAATTCTTAACTTTTTTTTTAGTTAAGACCCAAACACTATATACATTTTTGTTATATTGATACTTGTTTCTTTTAACTATTATCTTTTATGTTTAACTTTTTAATATTTATTAATAAGATTATAAATTGTTAATAGTATAGTAACTAGACTATTGTTCTGTCAGAACACAGCCAACACTTTATTTACTGCAATACTAGAACATATATTTTAATTAAGTTAAAGTTTTCTATTTATTTTTAGTTTCTTAAAAAACCTATATATTGTTATTCAAACAATATTACAAATGCCAATGCCAACTTGACAAAAATTCTAAAACAAAAAAATATTAAAAAAGTAGTTATTTATATAAATATTAAATAGAAATTAATAATATAGAAGTTGTATAACAAGATAGTAAATTATACAACTAGTTTGATTAAGTCCTTTTATTTTTTTTATATTATTTAAGAAAATATGCAATACTAATAAAAAAATGAATGTATATTCAGATTTACAAAATAACAATATCTTAAATCCTTCTGAAGTTGAATTGTTCTTAATTCAAATAGTATAAATATTTCTCTTAGAAAACCTTATCATCATTTTATTAATTGAAACATTTGAAATTAATATATAAAGTTATTTAAAAATATTATAAATATAGAAAAATAACAGCTTTAATTTTTTGAATTAATGATTAATATCTACTATAAAGAAAGAAATATAAAGATACCTTTTGATTTATTTAAAATGTTTTAGTAATATTTGTTTAGAAATATAATGAATAGAGAGCTTCAAATCTTTATTTTGATAATTATTAAATAAGATAATTAAAAACTTCTTAGTAAATAACAAGAGCAATTCAGATAAAGAACTCCTTATAATCTACATTTTTTCACTGTTTTTCAATAAGACCAACACCTTTGATTAATGTATATGAATTCATATTGAGAACAATTTTGTTTAGTAAAATTTTTGTAAAAAAAAAAAAAAAAAAATTGATTAGTTTTAAGAAACCAACTTTATAATTTAGTAACAAATCAATAAATGTCTAGTGTAAATTTTTTGAATAAACCAATAGTTTAAAATCTGAAAGTGGTAACAATTTAAATACATTTTTTGATTGTTTACAGTCCTTCTTACTACCACTTTTAACAACTTCATCATCTTTTTTATTGTCTAACTCTTGATGGTTTGAAAAACATTGTCAGGACGTCAGAACCAATATGTACTCTTCATCCTTACTGTCAGAAAATACTTCAGTATCTTCAAATAAGAGTAAATGTAAAGATGAACTTGCCTTTAATATAGTTGTAAAATTTTTTTGATTTTTTTTTTTGATTTTTTTTGCTTTTTAATTGATGGCGATCAAAAGATAATTGCTGTACTACTAACATGTGATTGTGATATCATGTACTACCTTCACATGATATGAAATCACGAATTGATCTGCAAAATGGCAAACTTTAATTCAAGCTTAGAAAAGGGAGTACTATTGCTTAAAAACATCAAGTACAATCACACAAAATCAAAAAAAAAGATTTTAGCGGCCAAATTTGGCCGCTGGACGGTTTAAGGGATAAGTCTCATGCTATGTAATCAATCACAAGGAAAATAGAAAACTGTTGGGTTTTTATTTTTCAAAAAAAAACCAATAGTAATTCTTATACTTCAATTATTATATATAATATATTGTATTTAAAACTATCATGTTCTCGGACGTGTTAGTATTATAAATGCTGTAATTGGATAATAGAGAACAACCAAAGCAAATTGTTATTAAACAATAGGATATTGTATATTCGGTCGAATAAAAAAAAAGAAACAGATGCGTGTATATTATTGATTTGGAATGTAGTACAAAAGTCACGTTACTGAAAATATTTGGTGGGTCATCCCGTGCTGGTAAAGTATTAAGATCGGTTTTAAATTTTATATATGCAATTATCTTTAGCTTGAACATGTCGAGTAGGCAAGTGTTAGTCGCTTGGAGCTCCAACGCTAAGTGTAGATTGTCGAAAAATTGGTATAAATTGCTAATATGAACTTTCATTGTTAGCAACGATAGTGACGAAGCCGAAACAAAAACTATTGTTCTTAGAACAGGTAAACTATTTACTTTAAAAAATTTTTTCGCCTTTATTATTACCATCTACTGACCAATTAAAAGCTGGCTTTGATGCTCGCTTTCCCAATACTAATCAAACCAAGCATTGCTGGCAAAATTACGTAGATTATTTTAAGTGCATAAAAGCTCGTGGTGAGGACTTTCCTCCTTGCAAACAGTTCTTTAGAGCGTATCATAGTTTATGTCCCAACGATTATGTGAGTTACAATCAGCTTTTTAATTTTACTATTTAGAGGCCGATAAGACCATGCAAATTAATTAATTGATTTTCATAACCCGGCCGGGTCAAAATTCGAAAATTTTTTATATATATTTTAATAACCGGGTGGGGTTTAAAAAAAATTTTTGGATATGAAATTTAAAAAAAAAGCGGCCGGCCGGGTCTGTTTGAAAATTTCATGTTATGAAAATCAAGAAATTAAATTTGTGTGGCCTAATACAGTTTATATTCTAATTTTACATTCTTTAAAAGATCTCAAAATGGGATACTCAGAGAGAGGAGGGAAATTTTCCTGTTAACCTTAATCCTTAAACATTAAAACTTGTGAACATATAATATTATCACTCAATGTGATCTATCAAATGAATGAATTTACTTTATAAACTCATCGAAAGATTAAACTGAAAATCAAAGAAAAGTCTGTATTATTTATTATCATTATTTTTAATTATTTAGTATAGCGAAGTTGGTTGTAAGTGAAAATTGGTGGCGTCCAATCAAGCTTTGACCTATCAATCCTACGTTTTTTATTTTTTGACATATCTATCATTGCATCTGTCAATCTAATTGTTGTCTGGCCTTGATATGAACCAATTCCAAGTGTATGCAATGTGTACAAAACGTCTCTCTGATCAATGTACGTTTTTTCCGAAATTTCTTCTATTGTAATTTCTCCTCCATGAAATTGATGATATCGATGCAGAATTTCTATAATTGTTTCTTGCCAGTATTTTTGGTATGATAATAATCCAAGATCAGAAAATGGTTTTTCTGGTGTTCCTATCTTATTTTCAATCTTGGCTAGCTCATACGACATTTCTATCAGTAATCTTCCATATCCTTGTCTCTGAAAATGTGGCAGTGTTAAAATACATGAAAGATTATGTTCTATACTATTCTTCTCCTTTGAAAAGTATCCAATTGTATGGAACCCATACGTGTCTGATCGACACATTACATAAAACATGAACGGAATAAGATCATAATATAGTGATTTTTGATCAAGGAAGAGTTTTGAAAGTAGCGATAAATTTTGACAATATGTTACTTGTCTTGCTCCATCAATTTCAAAAAACGAAACATCGCCGTCTCGATATATTTCATTTCCTGGTGGATGTCTAATCGTGCATTTTTTACAATGTCGTTCAAATTGCTTTTCACTAGCAAAATGATACAAGCAAAATTCGCAAATGTAAATTACACGTGCTTCTGTATATTCTTGGGGATATGGTGAAAAATACCATGTTTGAAGATAATGTTCTCCAAACCAAATCGCCTCAAGATTTTTGACGCGTGCTTTAATTGGTTTCTTTTCAAGCGCTCCTGATTCTGACTGAGAACATTCAACATGTGTTGAAGGCTCTGAAGTCACTAGTGATTCATCAAACGGCATTCCCCAATCTACCAGAACTAATATCTACATTTACCATAGAGTCATCATTAAATATCAGAGACTTTGCAATAAATCAATTTATACTGATTCGCGTGTCCCTGATTGGTCATCACACAGATGACACAATTCCTAATACTTTTAATATATATATATAATCATTAAGAAGAATTATAAAAACTTATCTAGTATGTTCGAGTCTAGTATTTTTGAGTCTAGTATTTTTGAGTTTAGTATTTTTGAGTCTAGTATTTTTGAGTCTAGTACTGTATAACCTTCCTAAAACGATATGCATGATGGCCAGCTTTTGACAGGTTATTAGTTTTGAAATACTAATAACCTATTAGCTATGTAGCTATAAACAAATATGATTGGCTAGATTTATTTTTTATATTTATATTATGTTATATAAAATCTAATTTAAGCCAATCAAATTAATTTATTTTACCTATCAAATCTGATATCATAAATATTTAATTTTTAAGTATTAGTTATTTGATTTGATAAATTATTAGATTTGACTTATAAAACAAACATAATGACTTGATTTTTTATTAGTTATCATAAATTATTAGTTTTGACAAGATTTTTTTTTTTTTTTTTTTTTTTTTTTTTTTTACTTGTAGTGATATTTTATTGACTTTATATATATTGGGTTAGCTATTACAACTATTTTTACAAAGATGAGAGTATAGCTAGTCATATATGCAACTTTTGATTATCTATTTAAATAGTTTGTTTTAAGGTTCTACATTAGATATTATATCTATAACCTATTAGAAGATTATCTATTTAAACATTTTGATCATCTGCTCTATCATATTGGAATCTTAACTTATTCTCCATATATATCTAACAGATATACCGTCTGAGCAGTATGATTACCTACCTTTTTTGTACTAGTTCCCAAACCATTATACATTTCAGAGTATATCACTTGTTAGTAAAATACAGAGAGTCTCTTATTGTTAACTATTTATCTATTTTTAGAACATTAATACAGATTACCCTTATAGAGTTTATTTAAACTCTAGTACTGATTTTATATTATATCCCTAATACTTTTAGTATACTCCTGCTTTGAACCCAGACTCCTAATCCAGATAGCTTAGAAGGACTGTGACTTGTTCTTGGTATATTGAGATTAGCTTAATATTCTTTTTCTTCAGTCTGAAATCTGGCAGCCTAGTTGGTAATACTCTTCACTCAAGGTTCTTGCCTGCTCAAATCCTTTATATTGATATCCATTTCCTAGATCTAGTCTTTATAGTAGAACTATCAAAAATCTATGTTATTTCTCTGCTCGGAATTTTCAAGTAGGTTTCAGCTTCTCAGTTCTACAGATTTACATAGCCCAAGAACTTATTTTAGGTTTGCATTGCCTGGTATCAGTTTGCATTCCTCTGTATAACAGATTACATAGATGCATCAGACCTGTTAGTCATGCTAATGTAATCATAGTTACAGATATTCTATCCTAACTGATCAACAGAATGCCGTCACCATAATATTGTCTATATATTATATAGATAATTATCTAAATTTTGTTATTGGTGGGTTTTGAACTTATAACCTATTACTTGAGAGTATAACAACTTATCCACTTCATTAAGTCACCACATTCTTAGTTTTGACAAGATTAGTTTTGAAAGATTTGTTAGTATTTTTGAGTCTAGTAATTTGAGTTTAGTATTTTTGGATTTAATATTTTTAAGTTTAGTATTTCTTTAATAAAAGTTTACTATAGTATAAAGTATAAATATTGTAATAAAGAATATGGCAATCTAGTGAAATAGTTAGGTTGTCAATCTTTCAAGTAATAGATTGGATGTTCAAATCTTATCAAGAATAAAAATTTAAATAATCACCTATATAATATTTGTATTACAACAATTGTTACTAACAATTAAGTTAAAATACATATAATAGTAATTATATTAGTATGACTGGCAGGTCATGAAACATCTGTGTAAATTGTTATATAAAGAAATACAAACTAACAAATCAAATGGTTCAAATATTAGATAAGTTCTTGTGATTATATAAATCTGTTGAAATTGGGTAATAAGAAATTCATTTAAGAGATCTGAATAGAAAGATAGACAGATCTTTAATAGTTCTATTATCAAGACTAGCTTAAGAAAACAGATACTAAGATCATAGTATCTGATCATAATAGTCAGATAGACAAGAATCTTTAAGTTAAAAATTTTTAAAATATATATTACCAACCGGACTGCTAAAATAAACTAAAAGAAAAAGAGATTAGGCTAATCTGATATATTAATAAACTAGTTGTAATCTTATATAGGCTATCTGGATTGGGAATCTGATAATAAGGCAAACAAAAAGATAAGAGTATACTAAAGTACTAGAATTATGTTATAAAGTAGATGCTAGAGTTTATGTAAACTCTACAAAAATATAATAGTTAAATAATATAATTCTGATTACAAATATATATTGGTTTTGTCATAGCAATACCTAGATCAATTGTAAAAATAAATATAAAAGGCTCTAGAAGGTTTATTTCAAAAATAAATTAGTCCTAAGATTAAGATAATAATCTGGGTATCTGAGTATAATCTAGTGAATTAACACAAGTTACAGGTTTAGAAGATTTAAAATAAAACATTTAATTAGAAGTATTAGATATGATAATTGGTAAAGAATCTTCAGACAAACTTCTTAAATAAATAATTTAAAAAAGTTATATATGTAACTAATTGTATTCTTTACTGTAATAATTCATAAAATCATATTATCAAAAAAGTTATTAATAAAAGTTAAAAAACCAAAAAGATCACCTTAATACTAAAAAAAAAATATATTGTAATCATTTGTTTATTATTTTTTTTTTTTTTAATATTTGAATCTTCTTTTTTATTAAAATATAAATATAAAAAAAAAAATTAAATATATATATATATAACTTTTATATAATAAACAAACAGATTTAAAAAATATAGTAATCTAGAAAAATAAATAGGTTGTCAACCTTCAAGTAATAGGTTTAAAATTCAATTTTTACAAAAAAAAATTTTTAAAAATTATATTTATATTATTGTAACTGTTTTTTATCAATTAGTTAGATTTAGGTATTTGTAATTTTATTTCTTAGATTATAAGCTTTCACAGACAAATTTGTCTGCATAATTGTATTTTTTTGACTTTGATCTATTTTTTTAAAATGTTAAAGTATTTAAATAAAATTTGGTATAATAATATTTGAAAATAAGAATTATAGCACTCTTCCTACTAATCACCAAAACACAAAACCTGCAAAAACAAAAATTAAGACTAACAGAAAAACTACTGTTAAAACTGTGCTTAAAAACTTAACAAAAAAGAATGAGCTTCAAAAATAGAACTAACAAGCAAAGCAGTAGAAGAAAACAAGCCAAGAAGCAAATAAAGAAAATACAAACTTGCCAAACAAATCTCAAAAGCAAAAATTTTGAAAAAATAGCTTAGACCTGAAATTGCAGATCTGTTTAGAACACATGAGCATATGAAAAGACAAACAAATAGGCATATATAAATATAAACAAAATAAATACATAAGTATTACAGAATGTATATAATTGTAAACAAAGCAGTACAGAACACAGCCACAAATAACACAAGCAAAAGCAGAAGAGTTAATGATACTAAAATTGGTAAGTGAAAGAGCAGAGGCAATACTAAAGCTTATAGGCAGCAAAGAATTAGAGCAAGAACTAGTAAATAGAGACAATCATTTCAATGTAAGAGATATAGTAGCAGCAGCACTATGAAAAACAGATTTAATAAAAACAGTAATGCTAAGAAAAATATACGAAGCAATAATTAAAGTAGATATGAGAAACCTAACAAGTATAGAAAAATGAGCAGAAGAGATAAACTGCACAAGTTAACACCCACTAGCAATGCAAAGTATGAGAAGCAAAAAAGTCCAAACAGTATCAAAAGAGGAAAACAATACATCAGAATTGTATATAATGACAATAAAACAAAAAACAGAAGCAGTAGACATAATAATGAATGAAAAAGAGCTATGACAAAATACAAGTTTAGAAGAGAAAGAAAGATAAAAAAGAAGGACAAGCAAAGAAGTTACAAATACAGAAACAATAAGCATAATGATTGAAGAGACAAAAATAGACAACTATATAAAAGAAGGAATAAGAACATTGAAGACAGATATAATACAAGAAGACTATAAAGACATTATTATGACAATTAGAAATCAAGAAGAAACTGTGAGAAATGAAAAAGATAGAATCCATGAAACTGAATAATAGAAAAACAAAAGTAATACTATAGAAGAACTACAAAATGAAGCATTTGGTTACCCTCGAACAGAGAATACAGTAATAAAAGAATATATACAGCAAAAATACTAGCATACAATGTACCAGGTAGTTCACAAAAAAAAAGAATAAAATTCATTAAAAGATTGCTAGTATTCAACAAACATGTTAAAAAGGTCAAAGAAATGTTTAAGTGAGGCAATGCTTAGATCATAGTCATGTTTGATTGCAAATATGGCAGAGAAGAAGCAATCAACAAAATTCAAAGAAAACATAATGATTGATTTAGAATAATTTCAGACATAGATAAATCAGAGAAAGAGAAGATCAAAAAGAGTAAGAAGTTAAAACAGAAAGATAAGCTGACAGAAGAAAAAAAAAATAAAGAAGAAGCTAAGAGAATAGAAGACAATTTACTCAACCAAGAAAAAGAAAATACAGACAAAGGAAATAAAGAAAACACAATAGCAATAACAGTATAGGATCTGCCAAAGAAGATAACAGAGTATTAAATCAAGTACCTAGTAAGAAAGATAGATAAAGTAATAGAATACAGAATCTGAAGAAGTGTATACAGAACAATGGCAGTAATAAAAGTAAAAAGAGAAGAAGAACAAGCATTCCTATAAATAATTTCCTTAAGAAACAGAAAGTTAGCAAGAATGACAATATATAAAAAAGAAGAGAAGAAAAAAGAAGAAAGAAATCAAT